GACGTACGCCCTGCTGTGTTTTTTTTTTTTTTTTTGTGAGCACTTTACGTCACTTCGGGACACTTTACGTTTGGTAGCAATGTGGGAGCGGTGCACTGTGTGACTTTTCATAAAGCCATGGCTACTGATGTTCTTTTCCCGGTGCTGTGAAGAAGAGAGTAAAATAAAAGCAACATGTGAGACAGTTTCCTCCGTGTAATCCTTCCTCATCATAGCTGAAAGTGCAACAGGTTATGGGCCCAGGCGCAGCACAGGAGGAAGATGGCAAAGGTTAGTTTTCGACGGAGACGAAAATAATTATGAACTTTGGGAAGTAAAATTCCTCGGCCAATTGAGAATAATTGGCCTGAAGGACACAATACTCTCCACCGCCGACCCAGACCCAGAGAAGAAAGTTCCTGGATGACAAAAGCCTGTCGTTGGTAATGAGAGAAGCGTCAGATGACGGTAAAAAGGCGCTAGAAATACTACGGAGTCATTATGCCAGTCAAGGTAAACCCAGAATTATTGCCTTGTATACTGAACTCACTTCTCTAAAGAAGGAGCCTGAAGAAACTGTGACAGACTATATCATTCGAGCTGAAAAGGCAGCAACATCCCTAAGAAACGCAAAGGAGGTAATCAGTGATGGGCTGATAATAGCTATGATTCTGAAGGGCCTACCAGAATCCTACAAGCCTTTCGCCATTCATACAACACAGAGCAGCGAGGAATTAACGTTTATACAGTTCAAAAGTAAACTACGGAGCTATGAAGAAACAGAAAAATTCAACACAAAACCAAAAATGGACAATGTAATGAAAGTGGACGTGTCGTCGATAACCTGCTACGAATGTGGAAACCACGGCCACATTGCCAGAGACTGCCGCCAAAAAGCATTACCAAAGTGGTGCAGCTACCATAGGAGCACCACACACAGTGACGAGACATGCAGGAGAAAAACAAAGCATAGAGATGATGCAAAACAAACTGCAGAAAGACAACAAGATCAAGAGGATGAACAGACATTTGTATTCAAAGTTAGTCATAAGTTTCTTCCAAGCAATATTAGAGGGAACGGACTAATGGTAGATTGTGGGGCCACATCACACATAATAAATGACAAAAACAAATTCACGAGATTTGATGAGATTTTCGATCTGAAGAAACACTACATGGAACTAGCTGACGGAACCAGGAAGAACAACGTGGCATTGAAACGAGGTGACGCAGAAGTGATCCTGAGGGACAAAACTGGAAGGTGTGTCCCTGTCACACTGAGGAAAGCTTTGTTCATACCAACGTATCCTCAGAACATAGTATCTGTGAAAACAGTCACAGACGATGGAGCCAAAGTGGTCTTCAAAGAGGGACAAAATGAACTCACAGACAAAGATGGAACTGTCTTCCGCATTGAGGTGCATGAGAGACTCTACTACCTGAGAATGATAAATAACCATGAACAATGTGGTGATGAGTCAATAAATGATATGATGTCCAGTGACAAAGTGAACTTAACTTGTGATGTCAAAACATGGCATGAGATTTTAGGACACTGTAATGTGGATGATGTGCTGAAATTACAAAATGTTGTAGAGGGTATGAAGATCACAGGCAACACCAAGATAGAGTGTAATGTCTGCACACAGGGAAAATTCACCAACAACAGAAATAGAAAAACAGATGCAAAAGCTAGTGCTCCCCTGGAATTGGTACATACTGACTTAGCAGGTCCCATTGAGCCAACTAGCCGGGATGGATATAAGTATGCCATTGCATTCACAGATGATTTTTCAGGGGCAGTGTCTGTTTACTTCCTTAAAAACAAGAGTGAAACAAAAATTGCAGCAGAAAAATCCCTTGCAGACAGTGCTCCATATGGCAGTGTGAAATGTATTAGATCAGATAAGATACAGAATTCACGAGTAATGATTTCCAGTCACTTTTGAGGGATAAAGGAATAAGACATGAGACATCATCCCCATACTCTCCCCATCAAAACGGCACAGCTGAGAGACAGTGGAGAACCCTTTTTGAGATGGGAAGGTGTCTGTTATTAGAAAAGGGGTTACCAAAGATACTGTGGCCTTATGCTGTTCAAAATGCTGCTCATATTCGTAACAGATGTTACAATGACAGGACCAAAAATACACCATACTTCATGTTAACAGGAAGAAAGCTAGATCTCTCTAAAATGTGGATGTGGAGCAGAGTGTTATGCATACAAGCATGATCATAAGAAACTGGACCCCAGATGTGAGAAAGGAATATTTGTGGGGCACAGTAAGAACAGTCCAGCATATCTGGTCTATAATCCACAGACAGAAAAAGTGTCAAAACATAGACTGGTGAAGTTCATCAGAAAGGAAAGTGTTGAACAACAGACACAAACTGATGAATATGTGTCAGAAGCACAGGGATACGAAGGTAAAAACCCTGGTAGTGAGAACAGTGCTGATATGCCACAAAGTGAGGATGGCACAGAAAAACTGGTCACAGATGAGAATGAGGACAATGTAAAAACAGACAATACAGATGTATCACAACAGGATGAAACTACAGAAAATGTAGTCCTAGGTGAAAACAAGAACAGTTCAGACACAAGACCTAACCATAGTCAAAATCACTGCTACCCAAGAAGAGAAAAGAGGGCTCCAAAATACTTAGATGATTATCTTACAGACATTAAAGATTATGATGTAACCCATACAAGTATTGATTATTATTACAGGGCTGTATGTGGAGTCCCCCAAACCTATAGTGAGGCCCTGACATCACCCGAGGCGCCCGGATGGAAACAAGCTATGAAGGAAGAGATCGACTCACTTAAACAAAATGACACATTTCAACTGACCCCTTTACCTGAAGGTAGAAACATAGTGGGAGGAAAATGGGTATTTGCCCTTAAAGAAAATGCTGAAAAGGGAAAAATCTTTAAAGCCAGATACGTTGCTAAGGGTTACAATCAAACAGAAGGCATAGACTATCATGAGACATTTGCCCCAACAGCAAACATTACGTCAGTACGGGCATTGATGCAGATAGCTGTCCAAAACGACCTCATTGTACATCAAACGGACGTTAAAACAGCATATTTACATGCTCCAATAGATGAAGAAATATTCTTGGAGCAACCAGAAGGTTTTGAAAAGACATCAGTGACTGGAGAGAAGTTGGTGTGTAAGTTAAAGAAATCCCTTTACGGCCTTAAACAATCTGGGAGAAACTGGTACAAACTTCTAAATGATCACCTAGAACAAAACAACTTT